TGTGTGTGTGTGTGTGTGTGTGTGTGTGTTCAGACATGAGCAAAGTGAAAAATAATTGATAAATAGAACATGCTCATAATTTAATTTGTTCACTAATAATGGAAAACTCTGAAGCTAATAAAAAGTGTCCAGCAGGGGGAGACAAACACCCCCTGATCACCACAGGTTGTACAGAAAACTGACTGCTGTTGCATCATTTTGTTTCTGTTTGCAGTGCTGAACTGCAAATTATGCAACAAACAGGGTTGTCTGTATTTTTCAGTGTTAACACAAAACACACACTGTAGGGGGAAAACACAAAACGTTTTACAACATTTAGAGCTGCAGAAATTGCAAAAGCTGGGTACTGATAGGGGCACTTTTATTAGTTCCTATTGGTTTATAGGAGGCACAAATGATTAAAGCATTTTTGGTTATATTTGCCTCCTTTCACTCAATGTTAAACACCCAGCTTAAAAAAAGATGCTGAATCAGCAACTTGGGTGTCTAACTCAGCAGAAGGCCATGTGGTGGCACACAGGAGCTGCAGCTCTTGCAGCAGGTTGCATCAGATGAGGCCTMATTTCTGAGAAGAGCGCCCCCACAGCTGCAAGGTGTGTGTGTGAGAGAGAGAGAGGCACATGCAAGGTGAAACCAGTCACATCAAAGGGTGGAGACGAATGAGCTCATATTTACCAACAGCCAAGGTCACATGTGACTGTCTGCCCAGATAGCCTCAGAGAAACGGATGAAACGGCCTCGACCGAAAGATAAGAGCGCTGGTTAATAAAAAAACACTGTACTTCACAAGCTCCTATCAGACAGAACAGTTCAACTCCAAATAAAATACTGAAAACAAAATGTACACGAGACCAGACTGTAGTTCAAAGCAGTTTATTTCTTTTTTTATTTGTAGAAAAAAAATACAAAAAGTCTGTAGCAACTGTGTAAAGTTGCCATGAGTGAACTGCAATCATTCACATGGTACAGTAAAGTGCTTATTTTAAATCAGTTTTTTTTTGTACTTAGAAAAAAAAAAACAACCTGTAATTTAAATTTCCTCCCCTGAATAATTGGGATCAGGGCTTTTCAGTGTGAACCAGGCGTCAGCTCAGAATCTGTCTCGTTAAAGAGGTTTTTTTTGTTTGTTTATAAATCAAACATTTGATCAGCGTTGCTGGATTTAAACGCCTGGTCTGTGGGCTACATTCAAACTCTGGGGAAGCTTATGATACCGGCTATTTGTATCACTGACTTTAACACTTCCTTACTTTAAAAAAAAAAAAGACAATATAAAAATTGAGTGGCTGAAAGATATTTTGCCCTCCCCAGTAAAAAGCAGTCCAAAAACCTTAGATGACAGACAGTAGAAATGGTAATGACCGAGAAAACTCTGAACTATACCGGTTCATATTAGAGCGTGGTCAAAGAATGTGCGCTTCGAGTATACAACCCCTTCAAACTTTTACGAAGCTCGAAAGGGAAGGAGAGGAAAAAAAAGGCAGAATACTGAACTGTAGGTATCTTCAAAAACGCCCACGATTGCCTTGATCGTCAACTTAATGCTACGAGATTATTGACAGTAAAACTGGAGAAACTGGAGGAGAGTCAGCTGCATACACAACTTCAAGTAAGTCTTATTATAAGACATAAAATCCCAAAAATTATGCATCTGTAGGAAGTTGCTTTAGAACTATTTCAGTGTCCTATTATCAGCATAATGGGGTCTGTTCTGACACCGTTCCCAGAGTACCGTCGCTGCAGTGCTGGCAACAGGACGTGGACGAGCACAAGTTTTACTTTTCTCAGCGCTGTGATAGATCAACAACCCTCTTTGGTGAAATGGCTACAGCACTGAGAGCTCGTCACCTGTTGGTTACAGAATGAGCTTAACTTAATCATAACAAAATAATAATAATAATAATAATCACCAACTCTTACACATTGAAAAAGAAAACCTAAAAATAAAATAAAAATTATCAACTTTGCCGGGCACGACCGCTCCGGCTCACTTACTTCTCTCACCCTCATACACAACATTTGCTGAATTTTAAAAACAATCAAATAAAATAAAAAAAGAAGGAAAAATAAATCTGGTGTTTCTCCTGAAATGAACAGCACCAGTCTGAAAATTCTCCATACAGAAAGTAAAAGCTTAATAAAGAGAGCTTTGCATAAAAACAAACACTAAAGGGAAAAATAAAACAAATCAGTGTGGCACAGTGACATGGAGTTTTCCAAAAAAAAAAAAAGTAAACTTAATACCGCTAAAGATCTACAGAATTTATTTTTATGTTGTTGCTTTGTGGAATGTTTAACTTTGAGGGGAAAAAAACAAATCCAATTATTTATAAAGAAAACTTTTTGAAAGAGTGTGTCTTATAACAAACACCTTGTGGAAGAGGGGGAAAAAAATGGTCCAAATAAATTATACATTAAATCGATCAACAAACGATACTCTGGTCGTCGTGGCCAAAATGTGCTTTTCAAACTCCACGAAGAAGTTTTAACCTTTACTTCCAAAATACGTTCAGGTTAATTATCTGATGCACAAATTCAACTGTAGAAAAAAAAAACATACAAGTTCTTGTAGGAAAAAAAATGACATGTGGTGGATATCACTGACCCAGTTTCATTTGCAAAGTAATTTAACAGAATCTGATTCGCCCAAACAAACGTATCAAACACAAAGCAAAAAAAAAAAAAAAAAAAAAAAAAAAAAAAAAAAAAAAAAAAAAA